TGTTTGAAAAAAAAACTAAATTTATTTTAAAATAAACGATGATCATTTTTTCAGATAGATTATGACATAACATCATAACTTAATAACTATTGTAAATTGATAAGTATCCATATTTAATAACATTTTTATCTGATTTCTCTAACAAAATTGAACCCTTAGATTATTCTGACATGATACATGAATTCTTCAATACAAAACTATCTTTATCGTTGTAAACGTGATTTCATTATTAAGATCGAAAATACAATTAACGTTATCAGTGCCTAATTTGCCCTAAGCAATATTTACATTTTCAATTTGAGTTTATTGGATGATTTTTAAAACAACAAAATGAACAAATCTCTATATTTAGTATTTCTTCTCAGATAGAGCAAATGTACTAGTACAAATCTTTCAAAGAAAAACTATTCTACGTGTGTTGAAAATAAATTAGACAGATACTACATATAGAAAATTAGACAGATACTATTTCATTTTTACACAAACTGACATTTTATTACAATGTTTTTTATTACTCGTATTTTCTTTGCTTGTAGATACCAATGCTAAATTTCAAAAAAAATTTTTAAGTGATTTTTTCTATGAAAATCACTAAGGAGAGGTGGGATAAGCGTCTACTCTATTTTTTACTTTAATGGTGAATACAAATTCATGTGCTATTCTTATATAGTTATTATATATAACATAACATTTATCAGAGTACCTACATCTATACTAAAAAGTTCAAATAAATGAAAATGCATCTTTTCAGTGTTAAAGAAATGAGAGTAACACTTCTTCCGATAAAGGGAATAGTGCAATTTTAAAAAATTATACAATGTTATTCAATACTTTTTTATTATTTAAGTAAATATGAAATAATTCATTTGACATACAAATAAAATAAATTACATAATTTATTTAAGAGTTATGGATATTTTTTATCGTCAATATCACTTATTCAGGTTTCATGTTTAATTTATTCATTGGCATTTTTATTGGTTGATCATTAGACAAAAATAAACGATGAATTCTCAAATAATCCAAATTATAATATTCTTAATTAATAAGATCTACATAATCGGTATCACACTTACACCAGTACACAAATGTGAGAAATTTGAAACCGCTTTAAATAAATTATAATATTATTTAATTGTTAAAATATTGAAGATAGTAAGAAATTGTTATCTACGAAAAAATAAACCACCAATTATAAAATTAATTTACTTGTGATATAAAATGTATACTACAAAACAAGCCGTGTTTAAAAAAAAAATTATATCTGATAAAACATTTAAAATTATCAATTTTAAAGGAAATATTTTGAACAATTTAGTAAAGTTAATATTATAATGATCAATATTTATATAATCACTCAGCTTAAGATTAGGGCTTAACTATTAAATGAATAATTTTTTTATCTCGATAACAAAACATCTTCAAAATGGTCTTTTTTAAGACTGCTCTGTTGTTGAGTATCATGAAGTACTATTCACTAATTTTATTACACAGAGGCGAGATCACAACAACGAGTATAACATTAATTGAACAGCACTTCTTGTTAAAATTAAAACATCATTATACGTGTAAATCTTTGGAAAATCCATTAAATATTTGTAAATTAATGATGTTATTAAATTATTTGCAAGTGATGGATTTTATTATGATATTAATTTAATGGATTGATCGAATTGAACGTATTAATTTAGAAGTGTACCAAATTAAAAAAATGCATTTTCAGAATATTGGAATCGTAAGCTATGTAAATATTTTTAGCTGATAAAAACTTACTATTAAGTAAAAAAAAAATTAATTATTTACTTGAAATAGAATTAGATAATTTTCTGAAATGTCAGTAGTAATTCATTGTACAATAAATGACTAGTGTGATTATAAATAATTAATACTATAATTAAAATCTTACTAACGTTAATAGAATATTATTAATAAAAATATTACTTTAATAAAAACATGATTTTTATACTTTTTCTTACTTATTCATATTCTTTGGAATCAAAAAGATTTTGCACGAGAATATAAAAGTGCTGGGTAGCATTCATATATTGAAAGTTAAACGTTGAAAAATAAATCTTACAACTTACAGTTAAGAATTAATAATAGTTCATTACAGGTAAAACTTAAAGTGAAAATCCTTTTTTTGCTATATCTCAAGTGTACTTTAATATTTATTCCTTATACCTAATGTATATTAAAATACCTACTTTGGTATTTATTTTCAAACGAATAAAATAGAACATTGAACTTAAGTGCTGTTACTATTATATTATTGTAAAAGTAAAGTATTAGGTTATATGTATTCTTTTGTATAAAAAATCATAATTATACCTAGTATAACTAAGTAATAACTAAATAATTATGGACGTAATTTTACAATCATCAATCAAATAAATTTAGTTAAATTTCTAAATTATAAATATAAGCAATCATTAGAAATGACATTAATTGTCATTTTATTAATACAAAAACTCTCAAATGCTTCTAATTTATAATACATTTTTTTGTTACTTATAAAATAAATTATTAAAATAAAAAACATAAATACAGTAATTTGAAACGTACTTAAAATATTCTAGAGAAGCAAGTCAATAATTGTGAAATATCCTAAAATGTATTCAATCACTATAAAACAGCCTGTTGGGAATTATAAATGTTAGTGTAGTGATATCCTCACAAAAATTTACCATTAAACTGAAAAGGTTTATAGGTTATAGCAACATTTAGCTTTATGGGTAAGAAGGAAACAGCCAGTACATAAATTTAAAATAAATATATATTTATTTATGATTTCGAGTAATGAAATCTTTGGAGATAAAATATATTTTTTTTATTAAGTAATATAATTAACTTGAAACTCATTTGAAAACTGTTTTCTAAAGCTAAAAAACTTATTAACTTAAAAAGCTTATAAACATTAAAAAAAACTCTATATGTCGTATTTTCACTTAATATAATAAAAAATATTAATTAGAATTAATCTAAAATCGTTCAATAATTTAGTTTAAAATATAAATAGAATTATTTTTTCTAACAAAATAATTTCAAATTAAAAAAAGTCACGGAAGTCTGGCGTCAGTCATACTTACACATGTCGTCGGTCATCTTTGATAAGGACAATATTTAGATCTCAATCGTGACCTCTCTGCAACTTTATAGTGACTTCGTGTGGGAATTTATTTATTAACTGATTAATTTTATTATATTAAAAATAAAAATCAGTAAACAAATTTTTTTTCTTTTAATTATTATTTTATATGTAATTAGTAATAATATAAAAAAACCCAGCACAGGGGGGTCGCGGCACAGTGGTGACGTGGCATAGTTGGATCAAGTATAATGATATCTGACAGTGATTAAAATCACTATCAAAAGAAAAACGCTTCGATGCAAATCTTTAGATGGTGTTTAATTTTAAAAAATTGGTGGATTATTCCAAAAGCTACATGATCTGCTATTTCCTTATTAATACCCTGNTATCTTATAGTTCATTATTAATATCCTAATTAAGATAAAGTATGTAGAATGAAAAAGGGATTATTAAAAAATATTATTTCTCATAAAAAAATAATGTTGATCCATACACTTTTCAATATGTCATAGCATTATAAAGTTAAAAATGTAAAAAATAAAATCGAGAATTTTCACACAATAATAGCATTCGGTAGCCATTTTCACCGTGAAGATAAAATAAAGTCCGAAATTTTTTTTTTGCATAATAAAGTATATTACATTAGCTTTAATTTAAGATATATATAAAAGTGTCAGACTTTCCGGAACACTTTCAAAATTTAAGTTGAAAAAGTAAATTTTTTGTGAAAAAGTTGTCATTTTAAATCCCCCCTAGTGGGCAGATAAAGAGTCAAATTTACAAAAAAAATATATCAAATGTTAGGTAAAGACATTAAACATCTATAAAAAAAAAAATTATATTGATATGTTCATTTTTGAAAAAGTTATGGCAGTTTTAAGTAAAAAAAATTGAAAAAATTTCGAAAATTAGCGATTTTTAAATTTGTAATTTTTTTGGAGGTTTCCCCCATTTACGGGGAACGAGGGAATTTTTTTCAATTTTTAAGGGTAATGTCTTCGACTAGATACGATTTGTGATCTTTTGACGTATTATTGAAAGAAATCGGTTCGGTGAGAGCTGAGAAAAAGTGGTAACAGACACAAAAAAAAAAAAAAAACATCATAGTAAAACCAATACCTTTTCAGCTTCGCATCGAAGCTAAAAATTAATGTTTTACTTAATTATTAATATTTTTGAAAAATGTATGTTTCAAGAGTTAATTTTTTCATTTGCAATGCAAAGCTGAGAAAATATTGTTTTTACTATGATGTAATTTTCTTTATTTGTGTCAGTAATTTTTTTCAGTTCCATTGAATAATTTTGTCTAACAATATGTAAAAATTATCATATTTTAAATCATTATCGTTATTTTTTGGAAATTTTACCGTTGTTCCGCGTAAATGAGAAAGAGTCTCTAAAAATAATACCCCTGTGGGCATATAAAAGGTCAAATTTACAAAAAAAAAATACCGAATGATAGGTAAAGACATGAAGCATCTATAATAAAATAAAATTATATTGATTGGGTTATTTTTAAAAAAGTTAAAGCAATTTTAAGTAAAAAAAATTGAAAAAATTTCGAAAATTAGCGATTTTTAAATTTGTAATTTTTTTGGAGGTTTCCCCCATTTACGGGGAACGAGGGAATTTTTTTCAATTTTTGAGGGTAATGTCTTCGACTAGATACAATTTGTGATCTTTTGACGTATCATTGAAAGAAATTGGTTCGGTGAGAGCTGAGAAAAAGTGGTAACAGACACAAAAAAAAAAAAAATAAAAATAAAAATAAACACATCTTAGTAAAACCAATACCTTCTCAGCTTCGCATCGAAGCTAATAAGAGCTAAAATCTTTACTTGACATTAATAGAAACTGATAACTTTATTATTTTATTAACAATTTTTAATGAGATTGAATCTGGTTTACTTACCTATTTTAAAGTTTTTTCATTCATGATAAAAGTCGGATTTTATCTGAAAAAAAAAATTTGATGAATGAGTAAATATAAATTACATCAATTCAAAAGTGAAGTTTTATTAAAATGAGATATCCTGCCATTGTAAGATGATAGCTATTTAAAAATAATTAAATTCGTAACGATGTCTATTTGCGAAGAGTAATCTTTTACAGTCACTAAACATTTCTTTGAAGTTAGAGTGCATTTTGAGGGACAATCTTTGAAATCGTTTCTTATTCGTTCCCTTATTGGCAAAAACTTCAATGAAACCGATTTGTTATGACATTTTTAATCATAACATTTATTCCACAACAGCAAATCGATGAAAACTGAGTTATTGAAAAATTATGTCACTCAGAAAATTCTTAGAGGTATAAAATAAAATACACTTTTTCGGTTTTAGAGAACAATGTAACACAAGTATATTTCATGACAAAAAAGTAAAATAATCCTTCTATTAATGTTCAAGAATTATTTTTACTTAAGTATTTTAAGTAGCAGCTTAAATACTTTATTTGATTTATTAATTAGTCCATGGAAACATAATTAATTTAATTATTATAATCACAGTAAATGCCCAACCTTTCTATAGAAACAAGTATTTATATTTTATTCTTCCGGAGATAATACAAAATAAGTAATTAAATATATTTTTGATTTGCAACCGTTAAGTGATTTAATTTTTTCTTGGCAATTCTAAACATGAGCATTAATACTATAGTTTTATTAATTTCTGTAAGACAGACACTTATATGTTCTTAGCAAATGAAATCTGCAAACAATTGTTTATAGTGTGTATTAGTATATTTACTTTTGAGGTTATTTTTTATTTTAATGCATACATTTTTTTCAATGCCTTTATTTTTCCTTTTCTTTATATTACATGTCATTTATTTTCTAGTATTCCGACCACTACCGTTTTCCATTTCTTCAAATATCTCATGGGATTTTAATGGTTAGATATACCACTTTCAAAAGTGAAGCAAAAAAAGAAAGAGTTTTTATTTATATTTGTCGTTGTGTGTTGTCACTTTCCTCAGTGTTGTTTGTCTATATCAACAGTTCTGGTGCTAAATTATGAGGTTTGCTCAAACAATTTTCTCGTTGATACGTTAATAAAACATTATGATTAATAATAAACAATTATGTCTGTTTCTTATGCTCAGAACACACAGATTATAAATTTTTTTATATAAAATTGGATTATTTAATTTTTATAGACCTATACATACATATTTTGACTATTTGTTCTAAGATTTAAATTATTTAAAAATTAAAAATATTCTTAAAATACTTTGTTGAGCTATTCAATAATAGCAAAATTTTTATTTATCTACTTAATATAATTTATTTTTCTACAGATTAATTTTTCCTTGTATTAATTTTCTTATGTAATTATGAAATAAGTTAAATATTAAAATAACACATTACTGGAATTATTCAGCCTTTCTTCCTCTGATTTTGTTTTTAAAAATTCAAGTTTTTTTTAATGAAGCGAAAAAACTGTCACTTCTCACTAGTCAATTTATAACGTACCATACCAAGCATGAAAGCTTCGTTTTGTGACTAACGTAAGAACATTTTAGAAAGTCATTAATCAAATTGAGTATAGGCTATTTACAAAAGCTAATTACTATTTTTGCGTTCATTAAGAAAACAAACAATCAGCTTTAAGCATTTTTGTTAAACTAAGTACTTAGAATACAAATAGAAAATATCGATGAACACTGGATTATTTTATCTTTCACTATGTAAATTCAGATTAGTATAATATATTTTTTCTTAGCATTAGTATTATGATTATTAGTTAACGTGAATCCATGAAACCAAAGTATTAATGTAACTATCAACAATACTATTAGTTTCATTTGCAGTGATTACATTAATAAGTTAAGACATTGAACTAATGTTAGCTGATATTGTAATAGTTTTATAGTTATTATTTATAAAGTTTAACTTATAAAATTTCCAAAACTACTTTAGTTGTCAATTTAATATCTCTCAGATATTTTCTTAGTCTTGTCGTGTTAAATAATTTTTATTATCGATTTGATGTCAGAATTAATATATGTGTTGGGAATATAAATGTTTTACTTTATTTAAAAAAAAATGAAAAGTTTTTTACTTTTAAATGTGTTATGGATTTACAGTATAACGAATATTAATTTTTTAAAAATACGAAATTTCATAATTAAAATATTTTGAAGTTCAGTCATTGATGTAAGAAATTGAAAGCGTAGGAATTATATGCCCTTCATATAATTAAATTTCCTTATACTAAATATTAGTATAAGAGAATTTACTTATTCAAGTGTTCAGATGCATTAAACTAATAACCACCCTCTTCGATTGTTTACGATATTTACTTTTATAATTAAATTTATAATAAATAAGTATTACTCCTTCTATTTTACTTTACTGAGGACATTTAAGTTCAACTTTAAAGAAAATTAATAGTAAAACGCTTTTTACTCTGAGAAACCAAAGGTTTCTCCGCATTTATTTTGTAAAAGAGCTTCATCAATAATTTACTATAAAGTCTTTCCGGTGACTAATGCATTTTTGTAAATCTTACCCTGTTCTTTTCAACTTCTTCGACAGTTTTTCCTATTTTAACGTTTTATAAAAAAAAAAATCTCCTAGCTATTGAACTCACACTATTATTTATCATGAGACTCTTATTGCAAATAGTCATAAAATGTTCTTATAATATTTATGTCAGTATAAGATTTTTCGGTTTTCCTTGCTGATCTTCATTTTATATAGTTAGATAAACAATTCAGGAATATATTTACTGTGAAATATCTACCTCTCAACCTTTTTAAGTTATGTGTAATGTTAAACTGCCTAAATATTTATGTTATTTTCGTGATAATATATATGGCATATATACATATATAATTATACATTGTATAATTTGGCTAGTAAAAATATCATATTTTAATAAACCTATTTATTGTAATAAAAATGATATTTAAATATTCAAAATAGTTTTGACATTTTAATCGAGAATAAGTGTAATGTTAATGTTGAATGTCACTTGAAAAGACCATTAAATTTTTTATAATAGCAATAACATTCGTATTGTCAACATTAGTATCTATTTTGTTTATTTTTTTATAACTATGATAACCGAGTATCAATTTCAGCGTAAACATGGAAGAGTGGCTAATGAGTTTGAGCTTATTTTTTTTTAGTAATATTGCTCACCTTGTTTTCTGACCTACGAAAAGACATAACAGTGACACCGACTTTTCTTGTTTTCTTGTGGTCATACGCATTATGTCAGCGTAATGCACTCCAATAATGACATATCGTGAATCAATTTATCATTCTGTGACACTTTTACTGTATTAAAATAGTATCTTGTAAAAATAATGTCGTTGTTTTATTGTTGTGATAAATATTTTTCTAAATAACCTATCAATGTGAGTTATATGAAGACATTTAGACAAAATATCTAACAACAAATAAATGTAATAGTATCGCTTTACAGAAATATTATATAATCAATCAATAACACAAAGTGAATTTGAAAACATTCAAATAAAACTGAACCAGACTTGATACCAGGATCTATTTTAACATAACTATTTAAGTAAAATGATTTTGTGAAAATTGTATTTGATATATCTCTCTTATGCATTTTGTATAAAAATTTAATTTTTTTAACTTTACTCAAACTTTTGTTATAATACCTTATAATATAATCACAAAAACAGAATAACTAAATCCTTTAAAAATAACACATAAGCTATCCTTGAGTTATAAGTGTTGGTTAATTATCTGAATAAATGTCCTTTATTCATTTTAAATTCAGAACATTGAAGGAGTTTCCCGAACTCGATCAGAGTATTCTAAATATGAAAATAAAAGACAACGATGTAAAAAAAGAAGTAAAAATCGAAGCAGCAATTGGTTTATCAAAAGGACAGTAATTGTTAGTGGATAAGTGGAACAGTTGAACACTAAGAGATAAAAAGTACCAAACTATTGGTTTTTTTGTGCGTGATCAAAGTCGTAAACTTGTCTGGCTGACTAATACGGCGGTATAATTTAGGTTTATCGTAGTAGCTGAAACGATAACATTATTTCAAGACTATCTTCATGGCATCTGATATGACCTTTAATGAGTACTATTCTCTTGAGAGACATTTGTTGAAAACAGTTGTCGACTAAGAAATACATTAATATAAAATTATAAGAAGAAATCCAATAATAATTTTTTTTTGTGGATACTTTAGATTGTAAGAAAATGGAATTAAATGTGGAAAGTTCTTCAATGTTGCTAATCAAAAGCACAACAAGGATTTTTTGGTAAATATACATGTAATTAAAAATAATTTATACTATCCCGATTCGAAATAAATTGTATCCTTACTACGCATTTTTATCATAAAAGTTTTCATAATCTATGCATTTTAAGTTTTAATGATTCCTTTGTATAGTATTAGCTACCCTTTAACGTTGTAAACAAACGGCAAGCGTCCACAATACACACACCATCGGTTCGTTTACAATGTCGACACAGATTTGGTATCGTGGAACATAAGTGTACATAAACAAGGCGTCATAGGCTATGATTTGGTGAACAACACATCTCCAATTGAAATTAACAGAAGCATATTAATTCGATAATGTATCTATGTTAATGAACCAAGAAATGGATAGAAAACCATGAATAACTATGAACAGTAGTCTGAAATACTCAAACCCGAACAAAAAAATCAAATCAAGGTCAGAAATTAAATGTCTATACTAATACACATACATAATCACTTGTCACGAAATACACAAAAATTAATATACTTTTTTTAAATGAATATTTGTATTTTGTTTATTGTTGAACTCAGAAAACAATAATTGATTTTTTGTTAGCAAAATTAAAACAACCCATTTTTTTTATAAAATATATAAATACCATTTCAAAATATTGTAGTACGCTTATTAAATATGGGATGAAGCACGATTAGAAATTTTATGTTTTAATGAATTTTGATATTATAAAAAGAAAACGATTTATGATATATTTTTAGACTTTTTATAACAAAAAAAAAAATCATTCCTAAAAGTAAGAAAATCTTAAATTAACAATTAAACAGTTTAAATTTCAATATATCTAAATAATGAACAATCTTTAAAAAGATTTTGAAAACAAAATAATTAAACGATTTTTGTTTTAATAAAGATATTAAAGTTAAATAGACGTATTTCATTTCAAAAAATTGTACCAATAAACTACTCTGAATTTAGTTTTTGACTGTAGTTTTAAGTAATGTAGCAAGTTTTCCATTTTCTTGGAATAACAATGTAATAATCCTACTACACTAATCCTAAAACCTTCAATTACATAGTTGTTTAGTTTCATCAACCTGTAAGTAATAATTGAGTATCTATTTAAGAGTACCTAAATTTTTAATATTTAGTTTCACAGGATATGATACAACTAAAACAATGTCGGCATTGTTCTTGGATTGGCTAGACATTACAGGGACCTTTTTGTATTTTTTTTTTTTTAGTTAACAAAACTATTTTTGTTTTTCATTTATGCATGTGAAGCTCTTTTATGTGCGGAGCCCTAGGCATGTGCATTGGTGATTTTGTCATCTCGTCGGTCTTGACCCGAGACCATTTGATCAATAAACGCTTTTATTTATTCCTAATTAAAATTAATTAAGTAGCCGTATTGTATTATTTTGAATTATTGCCGAAAAAGTTATGAAGCTTTAAGCAAAATTGCTTACAATACGAATAGTTTAATTTTATTGATTTTAATTGTGTTTACATCAAAAGAAAGAAACAAGTAGTTTTCAAAGAATTAATAAAACTCGGTTGAAATAATATATATTTCAGTGTATATATTGGCGACAGACGGTGCGACTTTAAACAGAGATGGGCATTTGAAAAACTTGGCAAACACTCACAAGAGAGTATACACTGAAGGTATTTCACATGGGGCGTTAGAGCAGAAATAACAATGTTGAATCGGACTCAGTTAATGCATACAGTAATAACACAATAAACGGCAATGACAAATATAGTTTTTTAAATATGTTATATCCAAAGATTTCATACTTTTGAATACATATACTGCTATACTGTTTAAGAAATAACTAGTATAATGTAGATGGATTTTTCGAATAATTCTAATGAGTTTTTCCTACCAATAATTTGTTTAAATTGATTAAACGTTAAAATAATTAAAATCAAATAGACGAAAACGTCGCTTAATTTGTTTTTGTATTTATTTTCATTTCATATGAAATTCGGTTGGACGAAAAAATCACCAAAGTAATATTATACCAACCGTTTTATTTTAATTGAGCAGTCGATCTCATAAACTTTGCACGAAATCAAAAAAACGCGTAATAAAACATATAGATAAGATACCGGATAAATATTTTTATATACCTAGACGAGGAAATAAAAAATAAAAATACAACGGAGCTCCAATTTTAACTACCATCATATCACGAATTTTACTATTACTGTGTTTTGTTAGAAACAGTTTAAAATCAACTCATAGATCATGTAATTATAATGCATTTTCATGGAGCATCAAAGTTTCACCGAGGGAAAAATGTTCTAACGTCTCTGATTATATTGAATGTGCTCTAAAGTGATGTTTCGAGATCCAGATTAACGAACCTTTAGTTTTACGTCCGGACTCGAAGTGTCGGAGATCGGCCAGGTTGGTGTGTAGGGCGAGCAGAGGTAGGTGCACATTTAATTGGTCATTATTATGCGGCGTCGTGGATCGCGCTTAAGTCGTAAATTTAACAGCCGCTTCGTTCCCCGAGCACATCGCGTGATCGTAGCCCGAAATTGTTTCCAAACGAAAGCTCTACGGTGTGAATCGATTGGTCCGTAAACTATGGCCACGTAATGTGAAGACTTTACACGGTTTTTCATTTCCTCCGGACACCTAATAAAAACCTTTATGTTTGCCTGTTACCACCTTGATCACTAAGAGTGTTTTTTTCTTAATCAAAATTTACCAAACTTTTGGACCGTTTCCCGGGTGCAAGTGTGACAGCTGTTGGACCCTTCACTTTCAGATAAATACATTACAGGAAAAATAATCGCCGTTAATGGTGCTGATCAAATTGTCTCGGGTTACAACGTTAAACTCATTTGTAGAAAAAAATTACTGTACCCCACAACAACTACCATTGATCGATCAACATCACACCATTTCAGAGTTTAGGAATTCTCTTAATCATTAGGCTTTGATATATTACACTTTTATAAGGAAAAAAATAAGCGTGTCTACTTTTTTCCATTTACTTTAAACTAATTTAACAGCACGAATCACCCAAAAACTTATTTACTATCGTTGACAAATTGTGTTTCATTGATAAATGATAATTTACATGTAAATTAATAACTTCATTGTCAGTCGTAAGGTATTTAGATATTTATAACATTTATACTGTTGTATGTTATTAATCAAGTTTACATCAAATTTAGCTTATTTATACATTCAGAAACTTAATGTAGCTTAGAATCTTCACTATTATCCGAGGCGCTCAAAATGCAAGGGATATAAGTGAAATTATTTTATTTTTACAAAATCGATATTAAAGTTATTGAGTTTTCATACAATACCATGTAAAATAAAATCCTTTTTATTTTTTTCTTTAGCTAAATAAAACTATTAATTTCCAGACCGACTGTTACCTAACTCAATTTTCGTCAAAAAAAAAGTCACTTTTACCCCTTGCATTTTAAGCGCCTAATTTGAATTTAGATTTTCTCCTTTTTCAATTATGACTGATCCATAATATTTTTTGTGCGTATTTGCTAGATTTAATTTGGTATCACATTCAACTCAAATGTACGATTTTGAAAATCTGGAGATAAATAATAAATGTAATTAATTTGAAAACGGAAGAAAAAAACGTCAATATATTAGCGAAAAGGAAATTTTCGAGATTAGTTTTACAATACCGATGCATAATTTATAGTTATTGATGAGGGAAGTTTGTCAGTGGTGCATTGACCGCAATTTATCCCCAGAACTCTCAGTCGCTGCTATACTTACAGGTTTTGTTGGTTGCCATAAATACCAACACAAGTTTGTCGAGGTAAACGCGTGTGCCCGCATTACCCGAACTAGTGGACTCGGTAGAATCGCTTAAACCGACAAACCGAAATAATTGGAGAATGACACATAAACTATGAGAAGACATAAAACTTTGCCTAATAGCATTATATACCTTAGTACTTGTGACAATTTCCTGTTCCGGAAATCTTTATATTTCACTGAACCCAACAACACATACGATTGAAAATTATTATTTACGATGATCATTTGGACACCATAAAATTGAACCATGGCCATTAATTAAGGTCTAAATTCATTTGATCGCATCCGCGGACCATTCAATCGAGAGCTGTTTTAGCCGGACAGAGAGAACTCTGCGCGGATTACAGGAGTTTAGAAATAGAAAACAATATCCGAGTGATACAATGCTTAGATGCACTGTATTTGCATATTTTGCATTATAATGACAGCGAAACACGTCCTGGCTATAATATGTAGTATAAATTCCACGTGATACTCACCCTACTCGATAGGAACGGCAAAGCGCCGATTCCTTTGATAAACCCGACACTAACTGGTAGTGCTAATATCCCAGCGCTAAAAGTAAATGACCATTGTTGCAATAATCCTCGTGCAAATCTATTGTTACAAGCCCGGGCGCGAAAGAAACACTGTTGCGGTAAAAACGAAAACTGCACCAAAAATAAAAAATCGTGTAAAAAAACAGCACAACAAAATATGTGTTATCACTAGACAATAGATGTCCGATATTAAAAACAACGATAAACTTGATTCATATAACAGACGATTGCGAGCGAATTATCAAAGACGTCGGATACGTTGCGTGTATGAGTTTGCACGAACGAGGGCCGTGTGTGCGCTGCATCAGTGGGCCCTGCGTTGCGGTGCCGGCGGCCGCTATGACCGAATCATGCGCAAGAACTGTCCGCACGAACAGCGCTCGCGCCGTCGACTTTTTGCTGTTCTCGCAAACATATACACGTTCCTGCATACCTACATGTGTAAATAACTATACAATTTCGGAATAAAATATTATTATTTATTCCTATGACATGGATGCGTCCCGTGTCTCAAAACGTTACATTATTTAGAACAACTGTCCATTTCAATGTCCATACGGGTAGAAGAAGCGAACGTGCACTTTTAATCAGTGGCACTCCGTAGGTGATCTAACGTTACCACCACCCTCGGCCGTTGCCCGAAAACTTTTGTAAGCCATCAATTGGTCAAACTACTTCAGGTTATTAAAAAGTCAAATATATTTCATAACACACAATACACAATGGTTGACCATAATTCGTTATGGTTAAAAACCTTAGTAAATAATGCAACGAGTGGACTATTGACTATACTACATTTTCATTAGGCTCGCGCAAAATGACAGTTTTCTACACGCGCTATAAAATTTCAGTGGAAATAAAAATAAGTAAAAATAATCCTACACAACAAAAAGCTCTTCAAAAATATCCGCAGATGCGCATACTTCGAAAACGATGTTTTCATCATAAGCGCCAAGTAGACACAATTTTATACTAACATCTTTTTTTAGTGATAAAACTTTGCCAAATATCAACAATTCGATTTGAAAATAAATTTGTTAATATAAGAATATTTTCACTCTTTAGATAATTTTCATTTTGTTTATATATATTTTTTGTATGGGTAAAATGAAACACGTAAAATATAACAAAGAATAATTTTAAATATTGTTCGATGAACGCACTACTTACCTAATTTAATTAATTGTTGTAATTACATAAAATCTAGTAGAAATATTTCTTGTTTAATTTGTTGTGTGATCCAGAAACGTATTTAATATTTTGATACCTTGAATCCACATAATTCTTCCACCTTTGATTTTAGATATTTTTTTATACATTACGTCAATACAATAATAATAACAGTGTTGCTTTTACAGATAATTATCACAAATATCAACAAAAAACTAAATTTTAAATAAATAAAACTNAAAATAAAATACAATAATAATAACAGTGTTGCTTTTACAGATAATTATCACAAATATCAACAAAAAACTAAATTTTAAATAAATAAAACTAATCTATTATTAAGCACACTCAATATTTAACATTCTCTATTATAATTAATATTCACTATATTAAACAAGTATGGATTAGGAAAGTCCAGTTATTTATAGCGGGGCCTCAGAATTTGGAATTTCTCATTAAAACTTAGCATAAAAGTATGAAATTTAAATAACTTCTAGGATATAGAATCCTCATTTAATTTTAAGCTTCAAGAATCACTGTACTAATCTAGACTTGATAGTGTCAAAAACCAAATTTGAAAACATAGAAATATTAATATTTTTATACACAAAAAGGCCAGTAGTTTTTCAAATACTTAAAATTATATTTAAATTAACTTATTTTTAATACTGATTGAAATTGGCATACATTTTATAATTATATTCGTTTCCCCTGAAAGATTTATTTAAACAAAAAAGTTATTAAATTTCTTCAGGATATATTATTTCCAAAAAAAAAAATTATGATTATCATGAAATAATAAAATGATAATAATTTTAAATTATCATATCAATATTTATCGATCTTTGACAGAAATTGATTTTTATTTTCCAATTCTATGAAATATTTTTTTTTGTTTGGTGTATTCTGATCTTATCGCAAAACATAAATAAGATACTTTTCACATATTTCATTTTATCAAAACTAAATGAAAAGCTTAGTGCAACAATCAATCAAGTATACTTTTAATAATTTATTAAAAGCAATTTACTTATAAAAAATGTAATTAATGACAACGAATAAATATTTCTACAAAAACCTAAATACAAGATCATTTTCTATAGTGTGTACACCAGTGGCGTAATTAAGATTTTGTCCTGACGAGGGAGGAAATTACATAAAAATATTTTCCAATTCCTCCTCCAAACAAACAAAAATTGTATCTTCGCCTTATAATTATATTTGTTATAAGGGATTATAATACCAATAACTCCCAATAATTACGCCAGTAAAGTATTCAGAAAATTTTCATTTATTCAAAAATTATAAAAAATTATATTCTCAATAATATCAATGCAACAATATATAGTTGTTATTCTAAGTCTTTGAAATGTTTCATTTTTAATTGATTAAAGATTAAGCTAGCGCTATCTAGTTATTAGTTCGTACAATCATAAACACTAAACTTTTTTGATATTTTAATAAAGTTTATAAAATTAAACTTAATTTTACGTCAAATAGGATTGTATATTTTATTAATAAATGGTAACTTTACTTTTATAACTGACGATATTATACAAAAATTTAGTTTATTTAAATTCAATCCTTCCACATTATAAAATATATCATTGATAGTCGACGTATCAATTAGCACATTGTAATTCTGTCACTGTATTCGGATTAAAACTCTAGTTGTATCATAATAATGAAAATTTCATGTTTGAAAAGTTTTATATCTAATTTTTATTTTATAGTTTCCGAATCATAAATAATGTCCAACCCATTAATTAACATTTGAAGGTTTTAATGATTATAGATGTAATTTCTGGTCGGATTTTAATATATAAACTTAACAACGACGTGGTTGACTTGAAATTTATGTCTTCTTTTAATTTTAAAATAAGTTTTTTTTTTTAATCAACATAAATAAGAAAAATGAATTATATGTAAAAAAAACTCCGCACAGTGGGGACGTGGCACAATTGGGTCAAGTATAATGATATCTGACAGTGATTAAAATCACTATCATAAAAAATGCTTGAATGCAAATCTGTAGATAGTGTTTAATATTAAAAAATTCGTGGATTATTCCAAAAGCTAATGATCTCCTATTTCTTTATTTATATTCGATTACAAGTTTTATGATTTATAAGTATAGTATATAAATAAATATATAAAGGAAAATGGCCGAATGAAAGAGGTATATAAATAGTATTTATCATAAAAAATTGTATTGACCATATATTTTTAATAAGACTTTATTAAAAACTATAGCATTATAAAATTAAAAATATAAAAAAGATTTTTTTTATTAACTTTAATGTCCGTTTTCACCACAAAAACAAAATAAAGTCCGAATTTTTTTTTTTCATAATTAAGTATATTATATAAGCTATAATTTAATATATATATAAAAGTGTTATTATTTCCGGAACACTTTCAAGAATTAAGTTGAAAAAGTTTCACTTTCTATTCGCATTTTTAAGTTTTNCACTTTCAAGAATTAAGTTGAAAAAGTTTCACTTTCTATTCGCATTTTTAAGTTTTGAACCTACCTGTATAAAGGGAAATGGTCCGATTCAAAAAAAAATTATGTGCGAATGAAAGAGATATATAAATATTATTTCTCATGAAAAAATTGTATCGATCTATACATTTTTCGAAATGTTATAGAGATATAAAGTTAAAAATGTAAAATATTTTATAAAATCGAGAATTTAACCACAAAAATAGCATACGGGAGCCATTTCACCACGAAGACATAATAAAGTTAGACATTTTTTTTTCATAATAAAGTATATTACATTAGCTTTAATTTAAGATATATATAAAAGTGTTAGACTTTTTGGAACACTTTCAAAAGTTCATTTGAAAATGTTAAATATTGTGAAAAAGTTATCATTTTGAATCCCCCCCAGTGGGCAGGTAAAGAGTCAGATTTATAAAAAAAATATATTAAATGATAGTTAAATACATCATGCATCTATAAAATAAAAAACGGTAGCACAGTGGGGTCGAGGCACAGTGTGGACGAGGCATAGATG